TGTGTGTGTGTGTGTGTGTGTGTGTGTGTGTGTGTGTGTGTGTGTGTTGGGGAAGATAGTGTGTCATGATGGAGAAGATAGAAGGAATTAATAAATAATCCAGCTTTGGCACCAGCAGGATGGCCAAACAGAGCTTGCTGCTGAGACTGGAAGGAAGGGGGCAAGGCACAACCATTAAAAGAATGACAGGGCTTCCCTGGTGGCGCAGTGGTTGAGAGTCCGCCTGCCGATGCAGGGGACACGGGCTCGTGCCCCGGTCCGGGAAGATCCCTCATGCTGCAGAGCGGCTGGGCCCGTGAGCCATGGCCGCTGAGCCTGCGCGTCCGGAGCCTGTGCTCCGCAACGGGAGAGGCCACAACAGTGAGAGGCCCGCGTACTGCAAAAAAAAATAAAATAAAATAATGACACAACCATTAAGTACAGGATACGACAAAAACAGGTTAGAACCTACTAAGCCCAAGATGGCAGAAGACTCTACTTCTAGTAGACCTTGAGCCTCATTATATGCACGTTATAATACATTAGCGAGCTAAATGACGTATCCACCAGCGCCATGACGGTTCCAGGGCCAACCATAAAAGGCCAAAAGGTGGGTGGTGCCCCAATTCCTGGAAATCCCCGCCCCTTCTCCAAGATAGTTAGAATATTCCTCCCACTCATTAGCCTATGAAATTACTAAACCCATAAAAACTAACCACCCCACACCTCCCCTGCTCTCACATTCCCAGATGACCCCATGCCCTGGGGCTGTGGCTCCAGCCTTCTGCTCCCACCTTCTGCAATGGCCCACACCCTGTCTATGGAGTGTGTATCTCACTAAATAAACCTGCTTTCACTTTACTATGACTTGCTCTTGAATTCTTTCCTGCTGGTAGCCAAGGACCCTCACTTAGCAGCCCATCCCAGGGACTCACTCGAGACCTGGGACACAACCATCCCCTCGTGCCCCATTTTTTTTCTGCAACAGTGCTTTGAATGAGTTGTTCAGAAGAGGTCTTGGTGGAAGCTATGGATCTGAGAACCATCTGGATGCAGAAGATGACTGCAGCAATGGAGTACATGAGATCACCACGGAAAGAGCTTAGGGTTAGGAGAAAAGAACAGCAGCAAACACTGACGTTTTAGAGGATGATAGAGGTAGAAGAATTCACAAAGGAGATGAAGAAGGAGTGGTCTGAGAAGAAGGAGACCTAGGAGAGAGTGCAGTCATAGAAGCCAAAGAATATTGAGTTCTAAGAGGAGGCAAGAGAAGTAACCACGCTGAACATTACTGAGAGGTCCTGGACACAGGAGTTAGTTAACAGCGTGATTATTCTTTCTCCTTCTGTGTCTTTTAATCCGATAGATAAGAAATATTTCCTGAGCATCTACAGTATGGTTGTTATGGGCTGAATTGTGTCCCCCCAAAATGATATGTTAGAGCCCTAAACCCTAGTACCAGAATATGACTGTAGTTGGGGATAGGGACTTTATGGGGGTAACTAAGGTAAAACGAGGTCGTATATGTGGGTTCTAATCCAACAGGACTGATGTCCTTATAAGAAGAGGAGATTAAGACTCAGACAGGCACAGAGAGAAGACCGTGTGTAGACAAGGAGAAGATGGCCATCTACAAGCCAAAGAGAGAGGCCTCCAGAAGAAACCAACCCTGCCTACGCCTTCACCTCCAACATCTAACCTCCAGAACTGTAAGAAAATAGATTTCTGTTGTTCAAGCCACCCAGTCTGTAGCAGCTCTAGCAAACTAATACAGTGCTTTACATCGGGACTTGAAAAAGCAAACATCACGGGCTAAGTCTCTCAGAGAACTTAGAAGTCTTTTGGGAAGGGAAGAAGCACAGAGATTGGCAACTGGCCCTTCTAGCCAGTATGACTCAGATTTTGGTAATCAGGCTGGCAATAAACCCTTTTGGAGGTTAGAGAAGCAAGCCCTTGCTCTGGGTGGGGGACATCTGGGGGACGTTTAAAGGAGGAGGTGGGGGACTTCCCTGGTGGTCCAGTGGTTAAGGCTCCACACTCCCAACGCAGGGGGCGTGGGATGGATCCCTGGTCAGGGAAACTAAGATCCCACATGCCACACAGCACGGCCAAAAAAAAAGAAATAATAAAGGAGTAGGTGCGATTGAGCTCAGCCTCGAAGCATGTACAGGATTGGGGTTGGCAGGGCAGAAGGGAAGGCAAGCCCCCCTCGGGGGACAAGGCTAGCAAAGGGGTGGAGAGGAGAAAGTGGGAGGTGTTGAGGGAGATAGTCTGTCGTGCAGGCTGGCCGAAGATGCGGCTCCTCCGGTAGAACTGTGGAGGATGGGGCTATCCACAGACGCTGACAGCCACAGGTCCTCCCAAGATCTCTCCTCTCATTCACGCTAATAGAAGCTTTAGCTGAGCACCTGGCTCTCTGGCCAGACATGTCCTTTGCTGTTAGGTGTGGTCATGTGACTTGGTTCTGGCCAATAAAATGTGAGCGGAAGAAGTGATGCGGCCAACCTCCCAATTGTAAAATTGTCTAAAATAAGAAGTGCACCCTCCCCTTTCACCCTTCTTTCCTCATCCCTGGTTGGAAGTGGACATGTGCTGGTGGGCACTGGAACAGCTGTCTTAAACCATGAGATGTTGAAGATGGCAGGAACGAGATAGACAGAGCCTGGACGCAGACAACACGTGGCTGCTGTGTCAGGCCTGGACTGATCTCACTTAGACTGTAACTGGAGAGAGAAGCTCCTGTGTTGTTTAATCTACTGTTGTTTGTACCTTATAATAACAGACAGATGCCTAACTGATACATACAGGATGGGGCTAAATGTTGGTGGGACCTCTGGTTTGGACTGTATACAATGATAACTGCTAAAGTCTTTTGGGTGAGAGAATGGAGATTAGGGAAAGAAACAAATATTTGCTGAGTGCTTATCGTGTACTAGGCATTGTGTTAGGTTTAAGTATGTGTTACGTGTTAGAAGTATTTAATTCTCACGATGGCTCAGTAAGGTAGCTATTATCAGCCCTGTGTTAATGTCAGGGAAACTAAAGTTTCAAATAAGTTACGTCTCTTCATATGCTTCTCCATCCATCACATCACCAAGGGAATCTAGTTAGTAGGTAACAGAGTCAGGATTTGGATCTAGGTCAGTGTTTCTTAACTGGGGGCAGTTCTGTCCCCCAGAAGACACTTGGCAATGCCTGGAGAAACTTTTGGTTGTAGCAAGTTGGAGGTGGGGAGATAGGGGTGTGCTACTGGGTAATAGGAATGCACTAAATGTTCAACAATGCACAAGACAGCCCCCCACAATAAAGAATGATCGGGTCCCAAACGTCAATAGCGCTGAGACTGACAGCCCCTGAGGTCTGTTCTACAAAAATCCCATGTTCTTTCCATTACACCAAATTGGGTGGTGAAAGTTGAAGAGGGGGTTATGAAAAAAATGATATGGTAGGGTAAGAAAGTCATGAAAAAATTATTTTAGGAAGGTAAGCCTAGAGGGGTGGAAAGATGAGCTGGAGATGGGAAAAACTGAAACTAAGAGACTAATGGAAACCACTGACAAGGTCCAGGTGAGAGGCAGGAAGGACCTGGAGGGTTGGGCAGTGGGACCGATAAAGTGAAGAGAATTTAAGTGTCCATGGCAAGAGCTTGCTGACTGAGAGCATATAGCAGATGGGAGAGGCAGCGAGAAGTAAAGACAGGCTAGTCAATGAGGATTCCACCTCTCCTCTCCCCTCTCCCTGCCCCACCCCGTCCCCCCCCCCCCCCCCCGCCTCCCTCCCCTTCCTCCTCTGCCCATCTTTCCTTTCCCATCCTTCCCTTTTCCCTCTTTTCCCTGCAGCCCTTCCCCCATCTGCCTCTGGTACTCTCTTTCTTTCCTGCTAACCCCTTTCTGTAAAGGTCTGCTCTGTTTCCCCCTGACCCCCAGTTCTAGGCTGTGGGTCTCAGCTTCCACCTCCATCAAGTACAACTCGGAAAAATCTGTGTTTCCTCAGCTTTATCCCCCGTGACAGGAACCAGCAACAGTGACAGACTCTGACGTGTCTTTTCCATCTTGCTTCCTTCTCCATTTCCTGTTTGCAGGGTGGATTGAAACATTTGACCAGTGTCTAGGATTGTTATAAAGACAGACCCGTGGCTCCCGGAATAGCCCTAAGGGAATTTCTGACAGGTTAGAGGAGGAAGGAAATCCTCTGTCTCACTTTTGCTGTTTTTTCTGGACTGTTTTCCAAAGGACGCTAGCCCGTTGACAAGGTATCCCAAGGGCATTGGGGGGTGGCCTTCCTCCCTTTCCTAGGCCCCGGCCTGGCTTGGCAGCCTGCAGCCTGCTTCAGGGCCAGGGAACCAGCATTGCCAGGCGGGCCCTGAGCCCTGCTGGCAGAAATGTTAGTGTTTGGTCTCCATTTCTGCATCCCTGGCTCTCCTTTCCCCAAGACCCATTTTGAGGTCACTGGTGTCTCATGCCTTTGGAAACATTTGGTCAATAAGAGGGCTGTAGTGATAAACTGATTGCTTTCATGGCTTACAGCTAAAGTCAGCGACTGCCTGGCTCTGCCCGGGATCAACGACCTCGACAGAAGGGTCAGCACTGGTTCCCCAGCCCCTCTTCCCATCATGCTTCCCGGATGTGCGGTATCCATCTCACCGCTTGTCTCAGGCAAGCCTGCCTGCGTTCCTCGCCTCTAGGCCCCCTCTGCTCATCTACTCTCTTTCCAGGTCCTTAATTTCCTCTTCTTCTCACTCCCACCCCACAGCTTACCATCTGCCATGGGAGCCAGGTCTTGGGGAACAGGAAAGCAAATCCCAAATCTTTGGCCTTTGGCTCCAATCCCCTTTCTGCGCTCTTTCCCCTCCCTCTTTCAGGTATCTGCCTCCTCGTATGCTTCTCCATCCACCGCATCGCCACCTGTTTTGAGGAAAGAATTGGGTACCAGTCCTCTGTACCTTCGGTGGCCTCATTGCATGATGTTTTGGAAAATGCCTGCACTCTGGAGTTTAATAGCTTGGGTTGGAATCCAGGCTCTCTTCCTTACATGCCGCTCTGGGTAGATTAGCAAACGTTTAGACACCAGTTTCCTTAGTCCATAAATCGGGGCTTACAACAGTATAGAACTTGCGGAGCTGTAAGGATTAAATGAATAATACATGTAAACACTTTGGGTAGTGCCTGGCACTTGAGAAGTTCTAGAAAAATTAGGTGTTGTTATCTGTATAAATACGAATCAAAGTACCATAGCTCAACAAGAGTTCTTCTGTGTGTAGGAAAGGCTGCCTTCCAGCCATGACGAGCTGAATCACGAGACAAGATGGGGTGACCAGGCTATGGCGGGGGGGGCACAGATCAGTGTCTGCTGCCATCAGAGTGGCCAAGCCAACATTGGTGATGCCCAGGAAAGGCTGAGCCAAACCCCCAAATCAGCACCGTCGTCTTGAGACGTGGGGACTGCCATAGAGAAGGGGAGCTGAGGTAGGGAATGGAAGGTGGGTTCTGCACGGGCAGGGATGATGTCATTCCAGCACTCACTGGAGTATCAGGCCAGCAGTGGGCTGGGGAACAGAGAGTGTGTACCACTGCAGGGGGAGGGATGGCCAAAATGGAAAACACATATGCTTCCCTAGGAAGCTGCTGGAGACGGGCAGGCAGGAGGCACTGCGTAAGCAGGACTGATGTGCCAAAAAAGACCTTTTTTTCCTGTTATTTCTTTAAAATTTGTTTTTAATTTCTATATAATTTTTAAAGGTTACTTTCCATTTACAGTTATTACAAAATATTGGCTATATTCCCTGTGCTGCACAATACATCCCTGAGCCTATCCTACACCTAATAGTTTGTACCGCCCATAGCCCCACCCCTATATTGCAGTCCCCCGCCAACCACTAGTTTGTTCTCTATATTTGTGAGTCTGCTTCTTTTTTGTTATATTCACTAGTTTGTTGTATCTTTTAGATTCCACATATAAGTGATATCATACAGTATTTGTCTTTCTCTGTTTAAATTATTTCACTTAGCATAATGTTCTCTAAGTCCATCCATGTTGCTGCAAATGGCAAAATTTCATTCTTTTCTATGGCTGAGTAGTATTCCATTGTGTGTGCACCACATCTGCTTATTCATTCATCTGCTGATGGACACTTAGGTTGCTTCCATACCTTGGCAAGTGTAGATAATGCTGCTGTGAAATTGCAGTGCATGTATCTTTTCAAATTAGTGTTTCTCGTGTTTTTTTTTTTTTAAGATATACCCAGGAGTGGAATTGCCGGGTCATATGGTAGTTCTATTTTTAGGTTTTTGAGGAGCTTCCATACTGTAATAAAGACCATTTTAATTGTCACAACTCCCTCCGCTCCATTTCCTGTGCCCTTTCTCCCTTGTTCAGGTCCTCAATGCCATTCATGGGCTCTCCTTTCCCCTCCCAGGGGAGACCCCTTGGAAAAGCCCTGAGAGCAGCCATAGCTGAGGGTGAATGATAAGGTCTTCTGTGTGTCTTCTAAGTTTTCTCTATGGGAGGACTGGAAGGCCTTGACTTTTATTAAAGAAAGAATATCGTCACCCAGCAGGAGGGCAGATGTTGGAGGTCTAGGCTTCTTCCTACTGCTTCCCAAGCGAGGAGCAGCATGTGGCACGCACGGCTCCCGGAAGGCAGGGCTTGGGGGCACCGTCCATCCTGGAGCACCACTCACATCTGACCTCCGGCATCACCCCTCGGACCCTGGCCAGTCAGGGACTCTGGCTCAGGATCCCTTCCTCCCTGTTCTTGGTTCTCTTTTTGTGAAGGACTGGGGGTTGGTGGGAGGTGATTGTGGGAAGTCAGAGGAATCAGATTGAAACGCAGGACTGAGAGAGGCCGCTGCTCGGGACAGGAGGAGGAAGTTAGAGCAGAGGTGAGAGCAGGGCCTTAAGCTTTCACCTCCCCTCCCCTCCTGTCCTGCCTGACAGATGATGAACCGGGAGCCGGGCAAGGAGCTGTGATGCGCGGACAGATCCGGCTTTCCACTGGTTCATTAGGAAGAAAAATGATGGCGGCAGAGCTGCCAAGAACAAACTCTTCTGGACTGTTGCTTTCTGACACCTTCCACAGCATTTCCAAGCTAATGGAGGGGTCAGGGGTATCTGATGCTGGGAGCATCAGGAAAACCAGGTGCCCGCAAGGTGAACAGTCAGGGTGTGTGCCCAGCGGGGTGGCGACGCCTCATGTCCTGATATGGTCCTCGTGATCATCCTGGGCTCAGGAAGGAACCATCTCAGGGTCTGTACCTCCAGACGCCTAAAGAGCACAGTGGCATGGCTGGGTGGGGTTACCGCCCTGGTGACTCAGCAGGAAGAGAGTTCCAGGCAGTGCTTACTCGCTTTTGCAGGGATCCCGCCTCAGGAAAATCCGAGGCCAGAGTATAGTGGTTGGGTCTGTTTGCTTTTTCCACACCCTTCAGCAGCAGCCCTGCCCACCTCCCCCATTCATCAATATAATGGTTGTGTTTTTCCATCTTAAGAAAAATGCAGCGCAAAAGCATCTTTGAGCCAAGTCCCCTAGCCCCAGGGGTGATTTTCAAAATAGTGCCAGACACGAATCCTTTTATAACAGGATGTCAGGGAGGTCCAGGGGAAGGAGGCGCAGGGCAGTGCCACTTACCGTCTAAAAGGGAAACACTATTTTGAGGGAGGTGGTATTCACGTTTTTTTTCTTTATTGTCAAAAACACATAATATTAAATGTACCATCTTAGCCATTTTTAAAGCACAGTCCAGTAGTGTTAAGTATCTTTACATTGCTGTGCAACACATCTCTGTAACATTTTCATCTTGTGAAACTGAAACTCTATACCCACTAAACACGAATTCCCCCCTTCTGCCTCTCCCCAGCCCCTGGTAACACCTTTCTAGTTTCTACGTCTATGATTTGGATGCCTTTAGATCCTCCACAGGAGTGGAATCATACAGCATGTGTCCTCTTGTGACTGGCTCATTTCACTTGGCATCATGTCCTCGAGGTTCAAAGCACATTGATCTTTTAAGGACCCATATTTAGGCACGTGTGTTGGCTGCATGTCAGCCTGCCCAGCCTTCACCTCAAACTTAAGCCCTGTTGTACAGGAGTCCTGGAAGTTACTCTTGCCCGAATATCAAAGAAATCCCATTCCTCCTTCCCAAATCCCCACTATGGTTCCTTCCCCAGTATGAGTTCCAGGAGACTCTTGGAATGTGCGAATCTCTCTGCTTTAGCCAATTTTTTGTTCAAGCCCTCATTTATTTAATGAGGCCACTGGTGTGGTAGTGTGTGTGTGTGTGTGTGTGTGTGTGTGTGTGTGTGTGTGTGTGTGCGTGTGTTTTCCTTTCTAGCTCATTCCCAACTATTTCCTTGCATATACCACATACTATCTAAAGGGAACTTCTTGCTATTTTTTTTTTCAGACACACCCGACATGTTCCCCATCTTCTTGCCTTTGCTCATGCAGTGTCCTCTACGTGGGGGATCATTTTCTCTTTTCTCATTGCGTCCATCTCTTATCCATATGCTAAGTCCTACTCAAACGGCACCTCCTCCCTCAAAGTCCCCAACTATTTCCTTGTCCGGAGATGATCTCTCTTTCCTCTGACACCCTAAAACACTTTCTTTTAAAACTTTAGTGTGGCACTTATAATTATATCATCATCATCATCACTTGGTAGTATTTATTGAGAATCTATTTGTGTCATGACAATATTCTGTGCCTTACAGTTTCATCTGCTTTTCTATCTTGTTGAATAGTTATTTATGCACGTCTTTGTCCTTTCTAGGTTATAATAATTAAGCAAATGGGATTTGGCATCAAACTTGGATCCTAGTTCTGTTATTGGCTGTAGGACTTTGGGCAAATTAGTCTCTCTAATCTTCAGTTTTCTTGTTGGTAAAACCCAGATAATAGTAGTTCATATCAGGTAGTTGTATGGCATGAAATAATAATAATAGCTAGCATTTACTGAGTGCTTATTATGCGCTCGGCTGTTCTCTAAGCACCTTTTCTGTATTATCTTACTTAATAATTTAAATCCTTTATAACAACCCAATTTAGTAAGTTTACAGAAGAAGAATCTAAGATAAAGAAGGTTTAAGCCAGTAAGTGGAAGAGCCAGAATAAAAAGTTTGACTTTAGAATCCTTAGTCTTTTCTTTATTACTTTTATTTTTTATTGAAGTAGAGTTGATTTACAACATTGTGTTAGTTTCAGATATATAGAAAAGTGATTCAAAGATATATAAATATATATGTGTGTTTTATATATATATATATATATATTTATATATATATATATACACACACATTCTTTTTCAGATTCTTTTCCATTATAGGCTATTATAAGATTAGAATCCGTACTCTTTTTTCTCTCACTGCTGTGGCCTCTCCCGTTGCGGAGCACAGGCTCCGGATGCGCAGGCTCAGTGGCCATGGCTCACGGGCCCAGCCACTCTGCGGCATGTGTGATCTTCCAGACCGGGGAACGAACCTGTGTCCCCTGCATCGGCAGGTGGACTCTCAACCACTGCGCCACCAGGGAAGCCCGGAATCCTTACTCTTAATCCTTACCAACAACTGCCCCCCTAGGGTGGATAATGTCCAGCACAGGCTCGATAATATCTGTGTGATACTTAACCTGGCAGTGGCGGGAGGCAGCTGTTATTCTTATCCTCATTCTCATTGCTGAGGGCTGGGGTCTGTCCCATGCATCTTTGTGTCCCCACAGCACTTCATAGTAGTAATAACTAGTATTTGTTAAGCATTTTCCATGAATTTGCACTTGCCAGAAATTGTGGGAAGTCTCTAGCCCTAGCACAATTAACGAATGAGTGATTGAATAAATGGATAAATGAAAATAGGAGGCAAAAACCCTTGAACAACAGGCAAAGCCTGTCTGAAAAGAGGGGTCATCCCTGCCAGGTTGTTAGCAAGTCAAGAAGACGTGGCAGCCAAGGAGAGGCCTCCCAGGGATCTGACTTATGGCCAATATTCATCAGTGTTTTCATTAATGACTCAAAAGATGGAGTGCAGAGTATACTAATCAAATTGGAGAAGCCTGGGAGGCAGGATAGAAGCTGAGCACTTAGGAGGCAAGCACATGCTTGCAGACGGTACTTGACAAATTAGAGAAATAAAGAGAGTCAATAACCAGAGCTCCAGGAGCTGCAGACTTCAAGTGGCTCCGAGGGAGTGGCTACCTCTGATGGATCTGCCCCGAGAAGCCTTTGGCCCACTTCTCTTTGGGCTTCACCTGGCTTGACTGCGTATTTGGGGACAAGTCTGAATGCAGTTCTCTTCATGGGGGATTTGGGCTTGGAGGCCCCATGGACAAAGTCCCCTCTCCAGAGACTGTCCCCAAACTCCTTCCTGGGCTCTCCCCTCCTCACCCTAGCCATCTGCTTAGCTGGGTCTGATGGAGGGAAGGAAACGGTTCACCTGCTCCCCCCAAAGACCTGAGACTTGGTAAAAACATTAATTACCCCATGATGTCTCCTCCCTACCCACAATACGGTTCTGCTCTTTTCTACTTGCTACAGATTCTTATCATCTCATTTGAGGCTGCCCTGGAGGTTACTGTGACCTCAGTTTTCCTTAGGACAATGTATTGGGTGTTAAAGGAGGGACAAGGAGAGTGTGACCTGGCAGAGAATGCCCTCCAGCTGCCCTGCCAGCCTCTGGGAGAAGACACAGCCCGAGTGGTTTGGCAGTTATGGAAATGCATGGGCTTTGAAGGTCCAGCTTCATCCTTCTGGGGCTATGTGGAATTTGGTAAGTTACTTAACTTCTCTGAGTCACGCCCCTTTGGTTACAAATAATTGAAAGCCACTTGGTTTGTCTTAATCAGAATGGAGCGCCTAATTGAAAGAGTCTCAGAAAATCTGGGAGCCAGTGGAAGAGTCACCATGGACCGTGGCGTGGCCTCTTTCTTCCTCCTCTTTCTTCCCTGGAGTTGCAAAGTTCTCTGTGCACCTGAATTTCAGCACATCTGATTCTTTCTTCTTTCTGGCTTAGCCTTCATGGTACACATGACCACAGGCTGATGTTCCAGTCCCCCCGTCATGAAGGGCCTTACAGTAATGTCTCTATATCCACATCTACATTTCTGGGGAAAAAAACTGAACCTGCTGCTCTGGGGTCAAGTTTCCACCGTGGCCTGAGGAGTGTGGGGCATGCTTGGTACCAGCATGCCAGCAATGACCCACCTTTGTGGGTAGATAGCAGGTCCTCAAAGAAGAGAAAGAAGTGGAAAATCATTCAGTTGGGTGTTCAGTGCAGTCTTTAAGCTTTGGTTTTCTCATATGAGAATGGGAATGATATTACCTACCTCATGAGGATGAAATGAAATACTGTTCGAAAAGTGCTTATCATTGTGGCTGACATAGTAAGCGCTGCCCCTTGAACAACTGCTCTTATTCAAGTTGAGGTTCACTGGACTTGGCAGGAGAATCTCTGAGGCTGGATGGGCCTGGGTAGGACAGGAGGGTCAGGCTGAAGGGATGGGATTTGGGAATATGGGGAACATGTCTTTTTTTTTTTTTCCTAATAGATTTATTTATTTATTTTTGGCTGCATTGGGTCTTCGTTGCTACGTGCAGGCTTTCTCTAGTTGCGGTGAGCAGGGGCTACTCTTCGTTGCCGTGCACGGGCTTCTCATTGCGGTGGCTTCTCTTGTTGCGGAGCACAGGCTCTAGGCGCGTGGGCTTCAGTAGCTGTGGCTCGCGGGCTCTAGAGTGCAGGCTCAGTAGTTGTGGTGCACGGGCTTAGTTGCTCCGCAGTATGTGGGATCTTCCCGGAGCAGGGTTCAAACACGTGTCCCCTGCATTGGCAGGTGGATTCTTAACCACTGCGCCACCAGGGAAGTCCCTGGGGAGCGTGTCTTTATTCATCACCTACAGAGGGAGACAGAGTTGTAAACAGTTGGGGATGGGGATGCTCAAATGTCGCTATTTCAGGGGGCCTGACTCCTCATTCCCAGCTGAGGCGCAGGTCAGTGCTACCATGTCATGGGCACCCAAACCACACTTTCCTTCATTCAGCCACAGAATGTTTGGGCAGTGACCTGGAAAAGAACTAGTTTATTCTAGGAACAGACAGGTTGAATTTTTTTAAGTCTTCTCTAGCTATTCAGTGAAGTTGATCATCTAGTTATCGGTCTCCATTTTTCTGTCCCCCATTAGACACAAGTACTTCAAGGGCAGAGATCATGTGTCAGGCTCATTTTTGCATCCTTGATGATAAGCATACAATAGTGGGGGTAATCCACTGGCCTTTCAACAATTAACTGATGTTAATTGAATACCTACTGTGTGCTGGATATCATTCTGGTTGCTGGAGTTACAGCAGTGAACCCTCATGGTGTTTGTATTCTAGTGGGAGAGGAAGACAACAAATAAGATAAATAAGTAAAGTATGTAATGTGTCACTGGCAGGTGTGAAGGAGAAGAAATAAAACGGGAAAGAGATGTATGAAATGTCAGCTGGCTGGGGTGAGTGTTAACATTTTAAAGGGGGCTAGTCAGGGAGAGCCTCACTAAGAAGGTGTCTTTTGATTAAAGACCTTGAAAGAAGTGATAGAGCTAGTCATGTTATTGGGGTGAGGGGGTGGGTAGAGAATTCCGGACAGGGGAAACAGCCAGTGTAAAGGCCCTGAGGTGGGCACCAAGAAGGAGTCCCAGGGAGACCAGTGTTGCTGGAGAAGATGGAGAGCAGTAGGTGATGCAGTCAGAGACTCCAGATCCAGATCCTGTTGGATCCTGTCGTTCACAGTAAGTGGTTCGTAGTTCAGCTTCTACTCGGAGTGAGAGGGAAGCCGTGGAAGGGTTTGCACAGAGGAGTTACATGACTGGAATCAAGTTTTACAGAATCACTTTGTAATAGACTGGGGGAGTCAAGCACAGGAGTACTGGGTCCAATTGGTGTTGTTAAGGGGGCTAGAGATCATGTCTCAGACCAGAGTGGTACTAGTAGGAGTGGAAAGAGGTTGTCAGATTCTAGATATATTTTCAAAGTAGAAGTGATGGGATTTGCTCAGCTTAACTACTGCTGTGTTTTGCTAGCAGTGACGTAAATTCCAATTCCAGGCCCTCAAGTATAACTTGGCACATGGTCCTTCCTGCCAGCCAATCCTTCCCATGCACATCTCTGTCAAATATGCTCAGGGGTCACCCCCTTTCCATGGCAACCCAAGGTATAGAGAACTGCTAAGATCTCTAAGGTCACAGCCATGGCTCCTGTGCTTGGGAAACTCTGAAGCCAAGACTCCCACAGGAGGCATGAAGGATTTTTATTATGGTGGCAGCTCTCTTTCAGTTCAGGGACCTGACGGTGAAGCCCAAAATTCATTTCTTCCTTCCCTTCTTAGTTTTAAGGTACACATTGAGGGGTTCCAGGAGGGAGTTCCCAACCCAGGAAACAAGTTGCCAATCTAGAAGTACATGGAAGGTCCAGGGCCACTAAGAAGTATGGAGCTCGGGCTCCAAAAGAAATGGATTTGAGTCCCAGCCCTGTCACCACGGGCCTCCATCTGTTTATAAAGGGTTCAATTAGATGAGCTTCTTTTAAGTTCTAAAGGCCTGTGAAGTTTATGCAATAAAAGCATTTTGTTAACTGAGATATGTACTTCTCTGGCCATGACTCCTTCAGAGTCCTCATTCTTTTACGATTCGCCTCCTACAAATCAGGATAGCTAGGTGAATTACAGTTTTCCAAAATGGCCTGACGACAGAGAGGATGCCTTCAAGCTAGATCACCAGGCTAAGGCTTGGAGAGCTCATCGTCCTCCTGTCAGTGGGCCTCGCTTGGCAGCCTGAGTGGAAGATGCTCATCTTTGAGGCAAGAAGGAATAAGTCAGGAGAAAGGAGGGACGAGAGAAGGTGATGCCAGCAGGGTTTAGTTTTCTTGTTGCCAGGTGTCTTTATTCTCGTTTCTTGTGTGTTGTCTTTCAGAAAGCAAATGAAATTTTTCTGTCAGCCCCAGGGCTATAGGCATGACAAGGCATGAAGATGTGAAGTGGCCCATCGTTTCTTGGGTGTCACCAGGTCACCCTTCTCTAACTGGTTCTGTTTGGGGTCATCAGCCTGGTAGGAGGGTCTGTAGAGAAAGAATTTGAGCCCTCCTAGCTTTGGACAGGGGGGAATCTTTCTTTTGTGGCAACACAGAGCCTGCCATCTGTCTTGGAGCCAGCCTGGGAGCTATTCCTTCAAGCCAATGATGGGAAAGCCCAAATTCTCCCTCTGATCTTTCTGAACTGGTCGCCATCACCCTTAAGACTATGTTTCCTAAATGACGCTTGAACGAGTGACACTGGTTTGCCGGTGACTGTTTATGGGGTTATCGGAGGAGGAGTCACATGCCATATAGTTGGTTTTTCCCGACTGAGACTCAGTGACCAAAGTGGTCAGAATTAGAAGTTTTTGCTTGGAGGGGGAAAAGCTGTAATGCTTAGGCAACAGTGACATGGGTGAGGGCTTCCCTGGTGACACAGTGGTTAAGAATCCGCCTGTCAATGCAGGGGACACGAGTTCGAGCCCTGGTCCAGGAAGATCCCACATGCCGCGGAGCAACTAAGCCCGTGCGCCACAACTCCTGAGCCCATGTGCCACAACTACTGAAGCCCACACGCCTAGAGCCTGAGCTCCGCAACAAGAGAAGCCACTGCCATGAGAAGCCCGCGCACTGCAATGAAGTGTAGCCCCCGCTCTCTGCAACTAGAGAAAGCCCGCGTGCAGCAACAAAGACCCAGTGCAGCCAAAAATAATAAAATAAAAAACCCAAAAAACAGTGACGTGGGTGAAATTCAACACGAGAGCAGTAGAGGCTGAGGGAAGGCTGCATTTCCATTAGGGCAAATTTAGGGCCTAGGTCTTCCCTTGCCTTTAGCTTTGGGCAGAAGTAGGTGATGCAGAAGCGGTTCTAACTATTCAACTTCTTTTTCTTGCCCTTGATATTTATCGTGAACTCTTTTCGCTGGCTATTAAAGGTCGGTGGATTACCCACACTATTGTATGGCTATCATCAAGGATGCAAAAGCAAGCATGACGCATGGTCTCTGCCCTTGAAGAACTTGTGTCTAATGGGGGACAGAAACATGAAGACTTATAGTTAGATGATCACCTTCACGGAATAGACAGAGATAACTTTTAAAAAATTTAACCTGGCTGTTCCTAGAATAAGCTAGTTCTTTTCCAGGTCACTGCCCAAACGTTCTGTGGATGAGAACCTTTCTTTTGTTTTTCTAGCAAGATGTTCTACTGGTTAACATCTCTTATGCCACACTTGACAATATAAAAGCTCAGAATTTTCCTTCTAAATGTCTGTGCTAACACATTCATCTTGCTCTTTGTTCTTATAAGTAGACACTTACCAGCCAAGTGTCCCTGGTTCTCAACCCAAGAGACAATGGGGAGATGTTTCAGCAGATGATAAGAAGTTGACGGTTTGTCTGGACACTTGTTCCTTGGCCTGTACATATGATCCCAGTGCGTCCCCAGGTCCCCACTCCTCACACTTCTATCTTCCATTCTAGTCTAGTCTAATACACTTCTATTCATTGGTACACAGGCATCAACTAATGGTAGAGCCCTCCTGCTGCCTGAAATTTACCCTAAAGCTGCTTTCACTGCTGTCTTCTTGCTTGCTGCTCTCTTAGAGGAGTGGTCACAGGTCCTCATGACAGACAAGCCAAGGGGCTGGAGAGCGAGGGCCAGAAAAATGGAAGAATGGGTGGAGCTGCCTGATCATGCGCTGGGTTGATAGGTAGCCTCCCTGGCAAAGTTTTAGGTTCTGGTTCCTATTCCTGACGAGGCTCCAAAGGTCAGAGGCCAGACTCCTAATGATTATTGTCACTCTTCTAGAAGGAGAAACTGTGGAGGCCCAAATAACCAAATGAGCTAGTGGGAAGGTAAAGGAGGCAATTCCAGCCCGTTCCATCATAACAAGTACCTTTGGTTGAATGTCAGAGGTTTCCTCTTGTTTAAGTGGTACCTGGTGGAATTATTATTTTTACTTTTAGAATACTAAATTAAAGGAAAAATCAACCTATGTGGCCAAGAGAAGGGGGAAAACCCTATCTATTAAGCATATTCTGTCCAACTCTCTTAGAGTTGGATAAAGGCTCAGGAGGGGAGGCCAGATTTTTTGCAGGGAGATCCCTCTCTGGTCCCAGTGGACCTAAACGTATCCATTTCTTCTTCAGTGTTTTGTCAACAAACATTTATTGAGTAACTACGATATGCAAGCTTAGGTCCTCCTGCCTGGAATGCCCTTTCCTTGCCCACTTCCCTTTCCAGCCTGGGCCTAATCAACAGCCATGTATCCTTCTGACCTAAGCGCCCCAGAACTTTTCTCCCTTGATGAAGTGATAAGGCTTAAAATGCAAACTGCCTCAAAAAACTCATGCATGTGGAGACACTGAGAAATCTTTTCAGATCTTTCTCTAAAAGCCACCTTTGATGTAGAAGGAAAGGAGAGTAGAGAACAAAGGAAAGCAGAGGCTCCTGAAGTGAGAGGGACGAGCGGACTGAAAGGTGGTCCCGTGGGGGCCAGCAGGGAGGGTCAGGAAGAGGAGGCTGGGGGT